AATGAATTTTTTATGTTATCTTTTATATCGTGATGTTCTTTTTTTGTTGTTGTTAGTTTCATTTATTTATTTTGAGAGAGGAAGAGAGAGCGAGAGAGTATGCATGCATGAAAGGGATGGAGAGAGAGAGGGAGAGAGAATCCCAAGCAAGGCTCCCCACTGTCAGCGCAGAGCCTGATGTGGGGCTTTGAACTCACAAAACGTGAGATCATGACCTGAGCTGAAACCAAGAGTTGGACACTTAACCAACGGAGCCACCCAGGCGCCCCTCTCCTGATGTTCTTAATTAAGGAATTGCATTCAGTAGACACTAAATACCTTGTTCATAGATTATATTAGCTAAATTCTGAGTGGATCATTATCCTTCAACTTCTTAAACTAAATGTCATTCGTTACGTGTGGGCTTTGTAAAAGCAAAGTTGAAGCGGAGTTAAAAGGCAGACATACTTAGCGTTGTTAAGGAGAAAAAGTCCTGTTTGTTATTGGTTCAGGCAAAGAAAGATACTTGCTTTACATAAAGAGGTCTACCAGTCTCCTCTAGGCAACCTAACTGATTAGCTGGACAAATTGAATATCTGACACTTATAGGTAAAAAGGAACTCGTATTTTATAGAACTAATGTGGAAGTTATTGAATAGATTGCCCACAAGTAAAGTTGTATTTTAGGGAAAAAAGCGTTGGATCAGTGATGTGGAAGAAAACCTGTATTTTTGACGTGATACTAATATTTATCCAAATGATATTTAATAGCTAGTAATGTAACATTTATGCAACAGCAATCCTGTAAAATAGGTTCTGTTTTTATTCCCATTTGAGGAAACAAGTTATTACTTGATCACATAAGTTATTATTTGACTGTATTATACTACTAGTGGATGATGTGGCCAGGATTTGAACCCAGATATTGTTTGACCCCATCGTCTGCACACTTGCCACTGCTACAGATAGACCCCTTGTATCTGCCCAGAGCTATAAAGATCTGCTTTAGGTCTCAACAAGAGCAATCTTGTCCTGGTTGATAGGTTTCAGTGTTGGTATTCTCAGTGGGAACTGTACCCTTGCATTCTTCTGATTGGCTCTTGTTTCTCAGGATTCTCTTCTTGCCAAGGATGGCTCTTCATTTCTACTACTGTGTCCTTGTTTCTTATTTATCGTAGATGCTTTCATAGGTGTACTATTTTGAAATAGGTGGTATTTTTGAATGTGTTTATTTATGATAGAAATGGAACCTTTTGTTCGTTGTTTCAGATAGAGTCACTCTGAGGTTAGCAATTTTGGGGTTTGTTTAAACATTGCTACATGTTAAACTTCACCTAAGGGCTACGAAATCCTTTGTTAGATACACTGTAACACAGTTCTCTTATATCTATCTAACAGTATTTGCATTTATATTGTATTTAAAGGGTTCAAAGTAAAATTGTTGTTTTTCCTCTCAATAAATATTACTCGTAAGGTGAGGAGACGATTGAATAATATAACCTTTTTAAGAGCTCTCTTCGCCTGAACACTGAAATTCTGTGAGTCTGTAATAGTTTCAGAATAGGAAAATTAAATATTAAGAGTATTGCCTAATGGCATTAGATGTTCCTCCATATCCCTTTCCCCCTTTTTCACTGCAAAAAAGTGCAAGTAAAGAATTTGTGCCCAGTTGACTAAGAAAGGATCCCTAGGGGGGCCTGGGTGGCTCAGTCAGTTGGGTGTCCTACTTGGGCTCAGGTCATGATCTCATGGCTTGTGGGTTCGAGCCCCACATCAGGCTCTGTGCTGACAGCTCAGAGCCTGGAGCCTGCTTCGGATTCTGTGTCTTCGGATTCTGAGTGCCTCTTCCCCATCATGCTCTGTCTCTCTTTCAAAAATACACATTAAAAAAAAAAAAAAAAAGGATCCCTAGATTTTGTGTGTAAGATGTATATAAACCTAAAATCTCCTTCATTAACAGCTTGTAAAAGTCATTGTCGTTACTAAGTCACTACTGAGGTTAGAGGTCTCGAATTGTTATTCCTGTGAATGAATTTGCAGTAGGTCATTGAGTGTTATTTATAACTGTGCTGTTATTTCTTGTAAAAATACCAAGTTTTTCCCAAATTTTTCCCTTCCCTGATAATATTTTTGTACTTTCAATTCTCACTGTTCAGAAAATATGTTTCAAAAACCTCTCATGAATTTAGTAATGCTTTTCAATGATTTTTTTTTTCATTAATGATGTTTTTATACTTTTTAGTATAATTAGGTAGGGCTTGGCGTGCCTCTAGTGGATTAATGGATCCCTTGGCCTCCCAAGCGTTCTGTAGTTTAGGTGTCACTGGTTCAAAACAATGTTTTTTTTTTGTTTTTTTTTTTTAACGTTTTATTTATTTTTGAGACAGAGAGAGACAGAGCATGAACGGGGGAGGGGCAGAGAGAGAGGGAGACACAGAATCTGAAGCAGGCTCCAGGCTCTGAGCTGTCAGCCTAGAGCCTGACGCGGGGCTCGAACTCACGGACCACAAGATTGTGACCTGAGCTGAAGTCGGCGGCTTAACCGACTGAGCCACCCAGGCGCCCCAAAACAATGTATTTTTATTTCAAATGTAAGTAAATCATTATTTCTAATATTGACTTTAAAAAGATGACATTTTGATAGTTTCTGGAGTTTTATCAATCAATCTAGGTCAGGATTAGTCATAGCAAGCAGACCAGACCACCACACATTCCCCCAGGTCACTGGTCTTAGTGAAGTATTTTGTGGATTGAAAATGTTTTTATTTATTTTTTATTTTTAAGTGTTTATTTACTTCGAGTGAGCAGGGTAGGTACAGAGTGAAGGAGAGAGAATCAGGTAGGTTCTGTGTCGTCAGCATAGAGCTGTATGTGGGGCTTGAACCCACGAACCGTGAGATCATGACCTCAGTCGAAACCAAGAGTCAGATACTTAACTGGCTGAGCCACACGAGCGACCCTGAAAATGTTTCTAAAGCATTGGCTTAGCTCTCAGTACCTGTTTGTACTACATTACTAGGATTAGTTTGTAAAATATGGTCAGCTATTTATTTTACATCTTCATTGGGACATTTCTCCTATTTGTCTCCTCTGTTCATTCCCTTCATACCGTTTCCATCTTGCTGTGCAATAATCTGTCTTCCTTCTGATTTTAATCTCAAACTGGCATTTATTCCAAAGTTAAGTATTGAAACTTCTTAGGTTAGCAACATTGACTTCTTGATCTATTCATTGGAAAGAGAATGCATGGGCTTTGGGAGTTTGAACAGTCTAGATCTGGGTAGGTGTAGGTAATATAAGCTTTATGCGCCTCAGTTGCATCTCTGGAATTATAATACCTACCTTTTTCGGGGTTGTTGTGGGCTCATAGTGTACATGAAGAGCCTAACACTGTGAGCTTTGTAAAAGATACTTAGTTGTCAATTTCCTTTCTGTCCTTCTTCCTGCTCAAAATGTATTCCAAAGACTTCTTTTCCTTTTTCTGAAAAATTTTGGGGGAATCTCATTCGGCTTATCTCTTCTTCCTTGGGGCTGTTTAAGACCCTCTTTAAACAGTCTGCCCTTAGTTTCATTTCTGGGTATCTGTGGTTTCTATCTTAAACTCATTCATGTTTCTGTTAGAACTTCTTTCTAATTGATACTTAGGCTCCTGTGACATAGGCCTACCTAGTAGAGGATTTTTCTGTTAAGTATCTTGCTTTCATTTGAAACAGTATTTCTGCACATTGGAAGTCATGGTCATGGTGACTAACACCTTTCTTTTAGTAGGACATAATGAAAACACTGGCATTTAATTCTGTCACACAGCCTGAGAACAAATGAACTAGCTGAAAATTAGTATATTTATGTAACATGAAATTAGTGTTTTGAGAAAAATAAGTACAGTCATTTTTTTTCCGTGTTTATGTATGTAAATTGGTTATTTCAGATAATGACAAAAGTTAAAAATTGAGAAAGTTGTTTTTTTTCCCTCTACAAAATGGATAAAAATCTGTTTTGGTGCTAAATTACTTTGATACATTGGATCAAAGTACATTGGTTCCTTAGAGTACAGTTGGAAAACCCAAACCTGAAATGTATTTGCTTGCTTCATTTTCCCCTACTAAACCATATAAGTCCTTTTTGGGTCTCCTGTACTCAATGCTTATTTTTTCACTTTGTGTTGGCTTATCTCTAATCGTCCATCAATTCATGCTTTTTGTGTATTTCATATTTTCTTTGATCTTAAGAGCTTCTGTATAAACTTAGCCTTATGGATTGTCCTTCCTAAATATCTTGGAATCCATCCCCCCTTCTTTCCACACTCTGTTATTATAGCACATCATCTCTCTCTTGGTGTGTGTAGTGGTTTCCTAAAATGTCTCTCTGCTTCTGGTCTTATTCTACCCATTCTCAGTTTGCTTCCATACTTCTGTGGAGTAACCTGTCACAAATCTGACTGTGTTCTGCAGTCTTCTATCTGATAACTCTTCAGTGACCCCCACCACCCACGGGATTAAGTGAACTCTCTAGCATTGTATAGAAGGTTGTGGGTGACATTTTCCTCATCTCTCGTCATCACCTATCTGAGCCTTGGATTTCTGTTCTGAGCTTCCGTACCAATGGTAAATTACTCATAAACGTTGTTCTTAAAGTACTAATGTCTTTCATGCCTCCATAAATTTTAATGCACCGTGCAGAAGATGCTTCCCCACCTGGTGATTTCTTCCTTGAGACTCAGTAGTTCCCGGTCATCTTTGTCCCCTCTCTCCCCAGGCCAAGTTTAACATTCCTTTTCTGTTCCCACCGCATTTTGTACACAAATACTCTTGCTGTGTTTTACATATTTCTCTGTCCTTTCCATCTTGTGAATTTTTTGGAATCAGAGACTATTTCTCGTTAGTCGTTCTTACTTGATATGTAACAGGTTCTTCATAAATATCAAGTGAATGGATCTAGTAGAAAATGTTCGTTTATATTTAGAAGAGAGTTAATTGTCATTTTAAGTTTTTTATGTTAACATTAAATCTTTTGTTCTAAAGATGGTGGAGCCAGGGCAAGATTTACTGCTTGCTGCTTTGAGTGAGAGTGGAATTAGTCCGAATGACCTCTTTGATATTGATGGTGGAGATGCAGGGCTTGCAACTCCAACACCTACTCCTCCAGTTCAGCAGGTAAGAGTTTTCCAAAGCCTCTGTAAAAAGTAGACTGCTTAAATTTCATTTCTCCTTACAGAAATAGGTATTAAGATACATTAAAAAAATTTTTTTAATGTTTATTTTTGAGAGAGTGCACGTGTGTAAGTGGGTTAGGGAGGGGCAGAGAGAGAGGGAGACAGAGGATCCTAAGTGGGTTCTGGGAGCCTGATGCAGGGATCAAACCCGCTAACTGAGCCATGAGATCATAACCTGAGCCCAAGTCGGACACTCAACTGACTGAGACACCCAGGCGCCCCAAGACATAATTTTAAATATGCATGTGCATGTTATTTTTATGTTATTAGTCTTCATTCATGAGAGGGACATTTTTGCAGTGAAAAATTAAGACATTTTCTGCTCTGATATACATACATATTTATATAAGAGAGATGTATTATTTAGAGCTCTTGTGGGAGGGTTGTTAATTTCCTTACTAGTTGTCTTTGTACTTCTTGGGGACCTTCTGAGGTTTCACTATATACTTTCTCTGAAAGTTAAAATAAGATTCTGGTGTTAGCATAATTTTGTGAAGATGTTGTACTTGGAAAGATTATTACTTTATACTTGGTATCATATTTTTTTGAGGGTAAAACTTTTTTGTTTTTGTTTTTGTTTTTGTTTTTTTTTAATTTTTTTTTTCAACGTTTATTTATTTTGGGGACAGAGAGAGACAGAGCATGAATGGGGAAGGGGCAGAGAGAGAGGGAGACACAGAATGGGAAGCAGGCTCCAGGCTCTGAGCCATCAGCCCAGAGCCCGACGCGGGGCTCGAACTCACGGACCGCGAGATCGTGACCTGGCTGAAGTCGGACGCTTAACCGACTGCGCCACCCAGGCGCCCCTGTTTTTGTTGTTTTAATAAAATGAATACATCTTTGGGTCTTAAAACAGTTCACTCCCATCATATTTTATTTCTTTCTCTGATGTTATTTTCTCTCCAGTCAGTGCCACTTAGTGCGTTAGAATTGGGTTTGGAGACTGAAGCAGCAGTTCCTGTTAAACCAGAACAAGAGACAGTACCTACTCCAGCACTGTTAAATGTTAGGGTAAGAACGATTTACATTTGACATTGTTACTCAAATGGTTTAGGATCATAGTCAGAAAATAACCTATAATATGAAGTCATTTTTATCTTACTAGTTCTGCTTTTTGCTGCTTTCCAATATGCTACTCTCACATCCTACTTGCTAAAATAATGCTTTCATTCTTCTGGTAGCTATGTTGCTCAAAAGACAATTAGGACAAAACAGAAAATTTTTTGAATTTACTCATTGTAAATGATGTAAAATTTGTGAACTACACATTAACCCACTGCACTTAATTTTTCCTTGTTTATTTCAGCTTTTGTCCATTATGTGATCATAATTGTGCTTTAAATACAGAGTTTACCTTAAACATAGCATTTATGAACTTAAGCCTAGTGGTGTAAAGGACATCCTAGTTAAAAATTTGATAATTATGATAAATTATTGTTGAGGGTTTTATTTGAAAGTGGTAAGTGGTGGGACGCCTGGTTGGCTCAGTTGGAAGAGCATGTGAGGGTTGTGAGTTTGATCCCCATATTGTGTGTAGAGATTACTTAAATCTTTAAAAGAGTTCCCTGCTTTAAAAAAGGGGGGATAAGTGGCAGCCTACAAAATTCTTGTTATAGGAGTCATGGAAAAATACCAAATACTTTGAAGAGGGAAGGAAGTAGAAATAGACTGAAATTTATAAAGATACTCAGTTGTACTTCAGTCGTTTAAGATCACAGATATTTTATCATTCTCAAATCTTTGACTTTTTTTCCCTGCATTTTTGTCCAGCTTCTAATGTCCCCTCCCCACCCCCCAACTATAAAAAACAAAATGCTATATGGTTTTTCTTAGGCTCAAAGGTAGTACCTGTATTATCACCAATGTTTGATATTGATGATATTGGTGGATTCCCTGGATCATTCATGCAAGATAGGTATTTAAAATGTTGCTTGGGGTTGCCTGGCTGGCTCAGTCAATAGAGCATAGGACTCTTGATCTCGGGGTCATGAGATCAAGTCACACATTGGGTGCAGAGATTACTTAAAAGTAAAATCTTCAAAAAAAAAAATTGCTGCTTGGTAGTTTTCTCTTTTAAGTTCTAAATGTTGGTATAGTCTGTATGATAGCAAACAAAACATTGTATAAGAATCACAGAATGTTAGAAATGGAAAATGGACTTCAGAGAGCCTGGGCCTCCAGGGGTGAAGTGATTTGCTTAAGGTTATTGACCTAGTTGAGGCAGTGCTGGGATTAGAAATACTTTCTCTTCCTAGCCCTTGTATTATAGGGTTGCAATACATCACAGCTTGCTTGGGATAGTCCTATTTTATGCTTGCTGCCCCTGACAGTTACAGAAAATGTCACACTACTACTATACCTTTTTTTTCCCCCCCTCAAAATGGTGTGTTTTAACTTGGTAGTTTATAGTTAGGCATGTTTAATTAAAAATACAGCACCAGTAGTTTGGTAAGAAAGTCAGTTTTAAATTTTATTTTTTTATTATTAACTTTTAAATGCTTATTTATTTTGAGAGAGTGAGAGAGCCCATACATGTGCACGCATGGGAGCAGGGAAGGGACACAGAGCGAGAATCCCAAGCACGTTCACAAGGCCAGTGCGCGGCTTGAATCCACAAACCATGAGATGATGACCTGAACCAAACCAAGTGTTGGATGCTTAACTGAGTGAGCCACTCAGGTGCCCCCCCATTTTTTTTTTTTTTTTTTTTTTTTTTTTTTTTTTTTTTTTTTTTTTTTTTTTTTTTTTAGAGAGGGAGTGAGGAAGGGGAGGGGGCAGAGGGAGAAAGAGAATCTCAAGCAGGTTCCATGCAGACACCAGGCTCGATCCCATGACTCTGGGATCATGACCTGAGCCGAAATCAAGAGTCAGACACTCAACTGACTGAGCCCCTAGTTTTAGATTTTTAAATGGCCTTCCATGTGTGTGGATCTAGGCTGTGTTAGAGAGTAAAGTACTTCTCAGTGGTCTGATGTGTTATGGTTTTCTTTTATAGCAGCAGCCTCCATCTACTACAACATTTGTGCTGAATCAAATAAATCAGCTTCCGACCTTGGGATCTACAATTGTAATGACTAAAACACCGCCTGTAACAACGAATAGGCAGACCATCACATTAACAAAGTTTATCCAGACTACTGCAAACACACGCCCTTCAGTCTCAGCACCAGCAGTACGAAATGCCATGACCTCTGCACCCTCAAAAGACCAGGTTCAGCTGAAGGATCTACTAAAAAATAATAGTCTGAACGAACTCATGAAACTGAAGCCACCAGCTAATATCGCTCAGCCAGTTGCAACAGCAGCTAGTAAGTCTTTCTATTTTCTATGGTGTCACCTGTCTCCCTGAGGTAAGATAGGTCAGTGTGTTTTTAAGGGTTTGCTTGGGTCTTAAAAGAACTGGGCAGGAAGGAGATGTCTGCATGACTCTGTACAATTACAGTATTTATACAGTACAAAGGAAGAAGAAATTTAGAAGCCTTAGCATTTACCTTGAAGTAAAATACGAAATTTCCAGGTGGCTACAATCATTAACACCATGAGATACTGGTTTTATATACTGGGAATAACTGGTTAACACTTTCTTGGTCCTTTAAATCTGTGCTTCTCAAACTTTATGTGATCTTGTTCACAGCCAGAATCAGATTCAGTAGGTCTGGGTGGGGCCCAAGATTCTGCATTTTTCTAACAAGCTTTTTGGAGGTGTTATTGCTGGTGGTCCTTGGACCATGTGTGAGGTAACTGGCTTTAAACTGATACTTTACTGCTTTACTGTGACTTTTACAGCTTTATGATTTTTGCCTGTCACTGGCTTCATTGCTTGTGGATAGTCTTGTATTTAGTAAAAATTCCCTTTTAAAATACACATGTTTTCATTATAAAATAATTTACTGCATTTTTTTTGAAGAATGAGCACCCATATAATAACTTTCTAAAAAAACAGCTTTATTGAAATATAACGTGCATACGATAAATTTTACCTTTTTAAAGTATATGGTTGAGTAGATTATAGTATATTCACAGTTGTTAAACCATCACTACTAGCTAATCCATAATACCTTAAGGATAGGGTTTAACGGGAAAAAGTTCCACAGTGGTTTGATTGCATTTTTAAAGAGTTTGTTTATGCATAAAGAATATAGATTTTGTAGTTTTTCTTTGGAGTTTGTTGTTGCTCATTTATTCAACAAATATTTATTGAGTGCCTTCTATATGCCAAGTACTGTTCTGGGGTTTTGAGGCTATGGCTGGGAGAAAAACTGTTGGAATCTCTGCTCTCATGGAGCTTGCATCCTAGTGGAGAGATGCAGACAATAAACAAAATAAGTTATACAGTACGTCTGATATGGACAAGCTCTGTGGAAAGAAATAGAAAATGGGGTACAGGGCAGGAAGAGGTTACAGTTTTAAGTGGAACGTTCAGAGGAAGCTTCGTGTTTAGTGTATTGAGGTAATTTTTAAGGGTAAAATAGAATTAATTGGCGTTTTTAAAAATTTTAGCAATGTCATATTTTAGTAGTATAGTTTTAGAAACTGAAAAATGTGAACTCTTAAGAGGGATATTCTTTCCTTCCCTCTACGTTCTGCTGAAATATATTTGAGTGCCTTTTTATTTATTTATTTATTATTATTATTTTTTTAACGTTTATTTAGTTTTGAGACAGAGAGAGACAGAGCATGAACGGGGGAGGGTCAGAGAGAGGGAGACACAGAATCTGAAACAGGCTCCAGGCTCTGAGCTGTCAGCACAGAGCCCGACGCAGGGCTCGAACTCACGAACTACAAGATCATGACCTGAGCCGAAGTTGGCCGCTTAACCGACTGAGCCACCCAGGCGCCCCTATTTGAGTGCCTTTTATGTAACAGTACCATGGCAGGCACTGTTGGAAACGGTAAATGACCTCAGTCATAGTCTGAGCTGACCACTATTGTATAGTTTTAGCATAGGAATTGGTGCCTTTTTTTAAAGTAGATTTCTTTGGGATTATTGTATGTTTGGATTAAGGAGATAGAATGGAGGTTCCTGATGATTTATACTGGCACATAAATAGCATTTTATTAGGGTTTTGGAATGAGGTGATAGGTATTGTACAGTTCCTTTTTCCAAAGGAAAAATGTATTTGTATTTCTAATTGTGGGAAATAAATAAGTTCTAATACCTGATATAGACCAATATGTAATTTAGGGACAGAATTGACTGCTTGGAAGTTGTGCTTATGTTTATAAAGAAGAAGGCTGGGGCGTTCGAAAGCAGTGGTCAAAAGTGTTTGTAGCGCAATGTAGAACTAACTTTGTCTCCAGTGAGAGATGTATTAAAAATATCAAATTATTTAATCTTTTCTTTGAATCCATACCATTGTGGCTTTATGGTTATAGTTTACTCAAGGTCATTGTCCTGAACTAACTGCAGCCTGGCAGCTAGATGCCAACTGAAAAATAATTTTAGCTGCCTTAGGACAGATTTTTATTTTCTGCCATGGAGAGCAGGACCGTGGCCCTGACCTGGCTGGGGTGCAGGGCAGCATCTGGGATGGCTCTTGGGAGACTTAGGGGTGGGGTGGGGTGATCAGTTTTGGAAGCAACTTTCATTAAAAGTTTTTGGGTTTGAGGAAATACTGCTGCTTTTTTGAGTGGCTTTCTGAGCATTCTACCCCTCAGAGCACATGTCCTCATAATGTAAAGAAGACTGTGTTATTGTGAGGGAAGTTCAGAAAGCAAAACAAAACAGGATAGGTTTGGAGCTGATCCAGTAATACTTAGTAAGTACAGTAACATCTACCACATCCAGTGGAGTAATTTTAAAAAGACAAAAGAGTACAAATCAAGGCCATCTTTGTGTGGAAGCCTGAGAAACCGTCAGACTAGACCAGGGCTGAAAAAGAAACATGTAAGTGAATGCCGAAGATAAGCATACTTTTGTGTTGTAGCAGAGGATCATCTTTTTACTAAAGGGGAAGAACAATAAAAGTATGCAACTGCAAAGAGCAAGATTTTGCATGTTCCTCCCTCACTTAGCTATGGGTGTTGCGCCTTTTGGAGCCATGAGCTCTTTGGGTCTCTGGGTTCTGAGTCCGCTTCTGTAACTCTGTGAACTGTTCACTGGCTCTCCCACAGTTATGTTAAACAGATAAATCCGTTATCTCTGTTCTGACCTCCTTATTTTGTTAACACTTTGTTATTTTGGAGTCCCAAGTGACAGGCCTCCAAACACTCCCTATCTTTTGGTAGAATAGATCAGATCCGGTCAGTGCTCCTGGTGTGATTGTCACACTGTGGTCTCAAGGATCCCAGGTACCCGAAGCGAGCACTTCAGGGATGTAGGCTGGTTACGGGGCTCTAGACTCCTCAGTCAAGAAGTTCTCCTTGGCCTAGTACTCAAATTGAAGGATTCAGTTCTCTTGCTGTGTGTAAAAAGAGTTTGCAAACCACTGGTATAGAAGAAGAAAAAATTCATTGTTCGGATCTTTGAGGAGAGGAGGAATGTAGAATTTCCAAATTTTTTTCTTTTTTCCTTCCAAGAAAGAATTATTTTGCCTTGAAAGCAAGTATCATCAACTCAGGTGAGATTGATTCTGTCTTGGTGATAATACCAAGTTTTGTGGGGTTTTTTGATGAACCAAGTGAAGTGTCCTAAAGTAATGCTAGCTTTTGGTGTTTGTGTTGAAAGAAACTATCAAATATTCTGATTAAGGTATCTTTTTGATAGTTTTCAAGTTTCCTGTACACGCATATCCGTTTAAGGTAACTTGTTTTCTAAGGTTAATTCTTACCTCCACGATAACACATTGCCTTGCATGTTTTTATTCTTATGCTTAATTTAAGGTAGTGATAAGCAGATCGGTATTTTTTCATTTGTGAAGTGGGTAAACTACTGAGTTTTTAAAAAACTGTTGGAAAAGAAATCCAGAAATTGTTCTAAAATGTAATGACTCTCCCCCTCAGCTGATGTAAGCAATGGTACAGTAAAGAAGGAGTCTTCTAATAAAGAAGTAGCGAGAATATGGATAAACGACATGAAAATGAGGAGTTTTTCCCCAACCATGGTGAGTTTTAACAGCTGTATCTGTATTGTGTTATGGAAGTACACTTGGCTAAAAGTACTCTAAAACAACCCTCAGAAAACTTTTTTGGGGTGAAGGGGGGCTACTCAACTGCATAAACTAATGAGTAAGCATTAAATCTCACCGAAGTAAACTAACATACTGACCAAGGTGATAATAACTTGCGTATTTGATAGGGTGTAGTATTACACGCGGTACTCACATCCTTTTTGTGTGGATCTCATCTGGTAGACAGAGACAATGTGAGTTAACCAAAAGTGTTTGATAACTGTCCATTTTAGGATTGAACTTGCATGTATAGCTAGTTCTGAGCTGTCAGATCATGTAATGTTCTAGTTACAAGTAATCTTTTTCCTTATAGTTTGGAAATGTTGTATGTTTTGGGTTAATTAATTCTGTACATTTATTTCATTGCTGTGTATAACACTGCATGTGTGTGGTGGGTTTGTACAAGAGGTATACTACATGGTTCCCCCTTCCATAATCACACAATTTGACAAGCACATGGTGTAAGTAGTAATAGAAGGTACAGCAAAAAGTACATTGGACAGTCACAATTAGGGTTATGACTTTGGAGGAAGAGGAGGTCTCCCTGGACTCACATGGCCTGAGAAGATTTCATTTTGTGGCAGAGATATAATGGAGATTGGGTGTTGAGTTTGGAGAGACTGTAGGAGGGCATTTTAGGAAGGGAGCTAATGCACTGGTACAGAGGAGACGGCTATATGTTTAGGTGACCGTAAGCCATGAGGAAGTTCGAATAGTTGGATTTGGCACTTTGGAGGGTTCTGAGTTGAGTTTGAAAGATTTGGACTTGGTGCAGCACCAGTCGGGGCCACTGGAAGTGGAGGATCCTGTTAGTGACTCAGGATGGGTTGGTGGGGGGAAGACCCTTTGGTTAAGTACTCCAGAAGGAAGTATTAGAAATTAAACTTGGGGGACTACAAAGAGAGTGATTGGAACAAGGTGAGAGGGAAGAAAAAAAGGAAAACATGTAACAATACCAGAGGATTGCTAAGACTTGGGGACGGAATAAGGAACTGGAGACACAGCGCAGCCGTCTGTGCCCGAGGTTTTGAACAGGGACTAGGAGAGTGAATGCTGGCCGGACCCAGTTTACTTAATAGTTGTGTGCCAGCAACTTACATGGAAGTTGATTTTTAGAAAATACAATTGCGTTTTTCTTTTTTTAATTTGTTTTAAGTTTATTTTTGAGAGAGAGAGAACCAGCCAGGGAGGGGCAGAGAATGGGGGACAGAAGATCCCAAGCAGACTCTGTTCTGACAGCAGACAGCCCCGTGCATGGCTCGAACTCATGAACCATGAGATCATGACAACCCAAGTCTGACACTTAACCAACTGAGCCACCTAGGTACCCTGAGATTGCGTTTTTCTTTAAAAAATGTATGTAGTGGGGCGCCTGGGTGGCGCAGTCGGTTGAGCGTCCGACT